ACACTTACTAAAACAGCTAAAATAAAAAATAGTGATAATACCAAATGCCGGTGAGGATACAGAGAAACTGGATATCTCATGTATGGTTGGTGGAAATGTAAACTGATACATCCACTTTAGAAAACTACCTGGAAGTTTGTTTAAGAACTAAACATAACCTTACCATACCACCTAGCAATCTCGTTCCTAGGCATGTATCCCAAAGAAACGAAGATTTATATCTACACAAAACCTGTGCACAAATGTTCACAACAGCTTGATTTGTAATAGCTCCAAACTGGAAATAACCAAATTGGCCTTCAATAGATGAATAGTTAAACAGACTGGGGTACATCCATACCATAGAATAAAAAACCCCACTGCCGCAGAGTTGATTCCAACTCATAGTGACCTTAAAGGACAGAGTAGAACTCCCCCATAGGGTTTCCAAGGAGCGGCTGATGGAGTCGAACTGCTGACCTTTTGGTTAGCAGCCAAATGCTTAACCACTGTGCCACCAGGGCTCCTACCACAGAATGATACTCAACAATTAAAAACAATGAACAACTGATACACACAACTTGGATGGGCTTCAAAGGTAGTATGCGCAGTGAAAGAAGCCAATCTCAAAAAGTCACATACTATAAGATTCCATTTATATAACCTTCTCAAAATGACAAAATTACAAAGATGGAGACAGATTAGTGGTTTCCAAGGGTTAGAGATGGTGGAGTGGGGGGAGGCAGGTGGTTGAAGCTGTAAAGGGGTAGCAACAAGAAGATCTCTGTGGTGATGAAATCGTTCTGTATCTTGATTGCAATGATGGCTAAAGGAATCTACACATGATAAAATACCAAAGAACTATACGTTCACATTATATCAATGCCAATTTCTCGATTTTGATCTTGTACTATAGTTGCATAAGAAGTTACCATTGGGGAAAGCTGGGTGAAGGGTTCTCAGCATCTCTCTATACTATCTTTCCAATTTCCTGTAAAGCTGTAATTAATTAAAAATAAAAAGTTTAAAAAATAACTATACAAGGATATCATTGTACTGGTATCTTTGGGCACATTTCTGTTTTCTTTAGGATAACTACCAGAAACAGAATTTATGGGGTAAAGAGTTTACACATGTTTAAAGTTTTACAAATTGTCCTCTGAAAAACTGTACCAAATAACACTTGCCACCATTAGCGCTTAAGAATTCTCATTTCCCCACACTATCAGAACAGTAGACACTCACATTTATATTCATCTAAACCACTATGATATGCAATAAAATAGCACTGGTTAAAGAATATTCACTGATGACCAGTATGATTGAATTTTTTTCATTTATGGATTTACCTTCTCATTTATTTGTAAGCTATTCAAGTCCTCTGTTTAATTTTCTATTGGGGGGGGTTGTCCTCATATTGATATGTAAGAACTACTTAGATATTTAAGGATACAAACTGTTAACTTTGAATATGACCATTTTTTTCCTTGTTGGTCATTGCCCTTTTAAATTTATGCAGGGAAATTATGGCATATAGCTTCGAATTTAAGTGAGACAAGGCCATTATCTTTCCTTTATGGATTTTGCATTTGTATTACTACTTAAAAAGCATTTCCTAGCATCAGATTCTAAAAATATCTGTGTGTTTTTTTCTGGTATCATGCTTTAATTGTCCATTCAAAATATACATTGAGGTATGATATGAAATAAAAAATTATTTTTAAAGAACTAACCAATTAGCACCCTTCATTAATAATTTAGCCTTTCTTCCCTGAAAGCATCCTATCATCTTCTCTGAAAGTATTGTATTATCATACATATGCATACATACACATATTCATATACATCTGAGTTTATTTCTGGATGTTCTGTTTGGTTCTAATGATAGATATGGTTCCAAAACATTTTAAGTTACGGTAGCTTTACATTACATTTTAAAATCTGGAAATAAAATTTCACCGTCAGTATACTTTCTCTTTCCTAATAATATTTTCTTTGCTATTCTTTATTTATTCTTCCAGATAAACATTAAAATAATATCATCAAGTTTCCTTTCAAGTCCCTTTGGAATATTGATAGCAACTGCATTAATCTTACAAGCTAAAACCAGGCAAATTGATAACTTTACAACATTGACTTTTCTCATTCAGGAACTTCATATCTTTCTCCAAAGTGGTATTTCCTTTCATAAAGTTTTGTAGCTCTTTTTGTCTCAGTTCTGCACGTCTCTTTTTGAGACTGACTCGGAGGATGTTTTAAAATTTGTTAATAGTTTGAATGATACCTCTCTTCCAATTATATTTTGTAAATGATTATTTCTAGTGTGTGGGGGGATATATACATGTGTTACTGTACATTTTTTATTTCATTTAGATATTTTGAAACTGGGTCACTTTGGTGACTGCTCATTAGTTTTAATAGTTGTTTTGCTCATATTTTCCATGAAGACAAGCATATCAATAGAAAATAACATGTTTTTCTCCTCCTTTCCAGTATTTAAGGCTCTAATTTCTTTTTCCTATCTTATTACATTAACTAGAATACCTAGAACAATATAAACAAAAACGTCTATTTCAAGTTTCACTAAGAGTATTTTTTTAATTACGAATGGATGTTGAAAGCAAAGCTAATCTACAGAGGTGGCCTGGGATGCCATGGTAGGGGAGATTGGGCTGCAAAAAGAAACAAAAGAAAGTTCCGGGGAGATGGGAATGTTTTTTATCTTGACCGGGATAATAGTTACATGAGGATATATATGTGTCAAAAGTCACTGACCCATACTCTTAAAATCTCTGAGTCTTGCTGTATTAATTGACACCTTAATACAGCGATGTTAAAAAAAGAAAAAAGAATGGATGTTGAATGTTTTTAAAGGCTCTACCGTGGTGATAATGTGGCTGTTCTCCTTGGACAGGCTGTTGTAATTAATTATATTAGTAGCTCTTTTTTGCTTCCACATTTATTTATTTTAAAAGAATTACAACACTAAGACACAATCATTGTACAGAAATGTTTACAATGCAGGTAAAAACCAAACCAAACCCATTGCCGACAACTCATAGTAACCCTTTAGGACAGAGTAGAACTGCTCCACAGACTTTCCTAGGAGCAGCTGGTGGATCTGAACTGCCAACCTTTTGGTTAGCAGCCAGCTTCTTAAGCATTGTGCCACCAGGTCTCCACAATGCAGGTGAGCATTACAAAATCAAAATGCAATACCTGCAATACCACTGTAACAGAGATCATCATCAACATTTTTTCCTCCCAGATACTGACCAATGAATTATATGTGTGCGTGTGTCTGCTTATGTGCATCATGTTGCTTAAAACATTTCGATGTCCCTCAAGGCTCTATATGATCTGGCCCCATACAGTAGTTTCCTAGTACTGCTGCAATACATTTCCACAAACTTAGTGGCCTAAAACAACAGAGAATTATTCTCTTACAATTCTGAAGTCCAGAAGTCTGAAATAAGTCTTGTTTTTAGTTGCCGTTGAGTCAATTCTGACTCATGGCGACCCCGTGTGTTACAGGGTAGAATTGCTCCATAGGATTTTCTTGGCTGTAATCTTAACAGAAGCAGAACACCAGGGCGTTTCTTCTGTGGTACCACTGGGTGGGTTAGAACCACCAACCTTTAGGTTAACAACAGAATGCAAACTGTTTGCACCGCCAAACCAAAATCAAACCCACTGCCATCAAGTAGATTCCGACTCATAGCAACGCTATAGGACAGACTAGAACTACCCCATAGGGTTTCCAAGGCTGCAATCTTTACAGAAGCAGACTGCCACATCTTTCTCCTGCAGAGCGGCTGGTGGGTTTGAACCGCCGACCTTTCCATTAGCAGCGGAGCACTTAACCACTGCACCACCAGGGCTCCTTCTTGCACCACCTAGGGACCTTGAAAGGAATCTTACGGGGCTAAAATCAAGGTGTTGACAGGGCTGTGCTCCCTCCAGAGGCTCTAGGGGAGAATCTGGTTCTTGCCTTTCCCAGTATCTAGGTCTACATTTCTTGCATCATTTGACTCATGGCCCCTTCCTCCATCTTCAAGCCAGGGGCATCACATCTTCTCTGTCTATTTCTCTCTGTTTCTGTCACATGGCCTTCTCTTCTGTCTGAAACTGCCCTCTGCCTCTTTCTTAGAAGGACCCTTGTAATTACATTGGGCCCATCAGATAATCCAGGGTACTCTCCCTATCTCAAGATCCTTAAGTTAATCACATCTGCAAAGACCCTTTTCCACATAAAGTAACATTCACAGTTTCCAGGAATTAGAACCTGTGTATCTTCAGCTGACCACACCCCACCTATCTCCTCAGCCTCACAGTACACCCACCCTCTGCACTCCAGCGATACTGCACTCTCTCAGTTCCTTGAACACACCACATGTCTCCTCCACCACAGGCCATGTTAAATGGGCATCAGAGAAAGGGAGAAACCATTCTACATAATAGAAGCAAAAGAATTTCAATTCCCTGGGGGTAGCCAGGAGGGGAGAACAGAGCCAGCAAGGCTAAGGGCTGTATTGGTTAAAGTGCTCAAGGAGAGACACCTCCGGTGGTGCACATGTGAGGTGTCCTCTGGAGAGCAGCAACCCCCAGCAGATACTATTACGTTAGGTGACTTGAGGCTGTCCTCGACCTCCTCTGAAATCTTCCATTCAGCTTGACTGCTTACCAAGACTTTTGTGCAAGTATGAAGGAGCTGGATTCAGGCCCAGGAGGCTGTGGGGTGAACAGGGGCAGCCTAGGGAATTGGGGCACAGGGACATGGGTACCAACTTCCATCTGGGCTAAAGGGGAGACAACAGGCACACAGAGCCTGGGAAGAGTGGTCAGGCAGAGCATAATGAAATAACAGAACTCAACATCATATGTCTTCATCTTTCCACCTCATCCCAAGGGCAGTTTTCTGAGAATCCAACCCACCCACCTACAAGCTGCTGAGGGGAACTTGATGTGGGGAGCGCATCCATTCCAGGCTGCAGGGGGCTGTAGCCCAGATGGTGACTTACAGCCGTGGACAGTCGTGAAGCCAGCGTCATCTCCAGGTTCCCCTTCAGGCCCACCAGAGGTGGCACCAACGTCAGAAGGTCTTTCACCTCCACAAAAACAGGCCAGTGCTGGTGAGAAAGAACAAGGAGATAAATCCACAGGTACATATCGGCACATCTCTGGACAATCCTTGAGAGAACCTTCAGCAAGTTACTTCTCATTCCCGACAAAATGAAGAAGACTAAGTAGCTTCTTAAAGCACTTTAAAGTAAAAAACTAATGATGAAGCCATTGAATTTTTTTGAATACTGCCTAATGGATCCACACTAGTGGCCTTAGGCACGCCTCTTTCATTCTCTGGTCCTCAGAAGCCAGGATAATTGGAGGCTGGGCTAGTCAGGGAGCACAGTGACACAGTGGATGAGAGCTTGGCTGCTAACCAAAAGGTCGGCAGTTCGAATCCACCAGCCGCTCCTTGGAAACCCTATGGGGGCAGTTCTACTCTGTCCTATAGCGTTGCTATGAGTTGGAATCGACTCGACGGCAAAGGGTTTGGTTTTTTTGGTTTGGGCTAGTCAGAGCCCAAGTGATTGGGTCCAGCCTGCAAAGGGGCTTTACTCGATCTGCACAAAGTGTTCATAGAAATACGAACTAGTTACCGTCTGAAAGTTGGAAGAGTTCTCATAAATTGGGAGCCCTGGTAACACCTGGCTAGATCAGCTGAGCTGATCAGGGATAGTCACTCCTCAGGCTCCCACAGACCCTGCCCTCCCTGTCGCTCCCCAGGCACTGAAGCTGAGTGCGAGTCACCACTGAACATCAGGCTTGTGCTCTTCATTTTTCAAAATAGATCTGTCTCTATCAAAGTAAAATAATAATTAATTAAAAGGCAGAATTATAGGGATGTGTGTTTTAAGAAAATTGGAAGAGAAAAAAATTTCTTTCAGGCAGTGAAAACTATTCCTCCCTATTTAATTAATATGCAATTAGACTGCAAATTGCCATTGTCAGCTAGGAGACTGGGTGGGACCAGAGGTCTAGTCCCCGTTCTCCCACAAAGAGCTGTGTTTTGTTGTGTGCTGTCGAGTCAATTCCGACTCATAGCGACCCTACAGGAGACAGTAGAACTGCCCCATAGGTTTCCAAGGCTGTAATCTCAATGGGATCAGACTGCCACATCTTTCTCCCAAGGAGCGGGTGGTGGATTCCAACTGCCAACCTTTCAGTTAGCAGCTGAGCACTTAAGATGTGTACACATCACTGTAGCGTACAGGGGGCGCAGGAGAACAATCTCTAAAGCAGCACCAGCCAGCAAAGTAGGAATTCCTTTTTTAGGTCTAGAATTCCAAAACCAGGAGGACTTTCTAATGTAGGGGTCACAGATATCTATATGGGCCAGGCAGATAAAATAAATCAGTAAGATCAGATGAGGTATTAAAAATTGCTAATTTTTAGATGGAATTATAATAATGTGGGTATGTTTTTGTTTAAAAAAAAAGTTTTTTATTTTAAAGATACATTCAAATACTTATGGAAGAAATGATTAAATTTCTTGGGTTTACTCTAAAACAATCCTGAGTTGAGAAGGATAATGGAGGTTGGATAGATATGAAACAAGATTGTCTATAAGATGATAACTATTAAAGCCGGGTGATAGGGTCACAGGAATTCATTTCACTAATTTCTTCTACTTTTGTAAATGTTTTAAGTTTCCCATAATAAAAATTTTTTAAAAAGTGGCCTTTAAAAAACAATCAATTTTAATGTCTTGGAGTCCCTGGGTGGTGCAATTGGTGAGCTTTCAACTACTAACCAAAAGGTTGGCAGTTCAAACCCACCGCGAGGTACCTCTGAGTCCCTGGGTGGTATAAAAGGTTAACGTGATCTACTGCTAACCAAAAGTCTGGCAGTTGAGTCCACACAGAGGTGCCTCAAAGAAAGGCCTGGTAATCTACTTCCGAAGAATCAAGTCATTGAAAACTCTGTGGGGCACAGCGCTACCCTGACACACATGGGGTCACCATGAGTTGGTGTTGACTCAATGGCAACTGGTCTGGAACATGCTTTACAAGGCCTAGAAGTAAAAGGATTGGGCCAGAGGTCCTTGTAAGCCTCCTTCACATTCTCAGACACAGGAAGACGATGGCTTGTTTACCTTTCCCTCCTTCCCTCTTTTCGTCCCTCTGTTTCTCTCTTTACCTTATCAACAAAACTGTTGAATTCAGAATCCACTCTCAGCTCTGATTGAGTTAGGACTCTGCCCTCTCCTAATACTTCAGAAGAAAACCAGGACCCAGCAAAGAGGTGCTTCATCATCAGTGAGCCTCCCTCAACTCTGTCTCCTGGAAGTGTCTGGCTCCAGTCTTCTGTGCAGTTGTTCTAATCAGCCTTGCTGGCCATGCTTCCTTCCAGCAGACGGCTGGGTTTCCTTCTTCAGCCAATGCACAGAGACCATTAGACATTCACTCCCGCCACGGAACTTCAGCTCCATGGCACTCACCTCCCTCCCTCCTAAGCTTCCGCCTCTGAGGCAGGTGTCCCCAGCTGTCCTTGACTTTAGGCACCCTCCTCCAGCCTCCACTATATGTGTGCTCTCTCTCTGCCTACACAGAAGACCAAGTACTCATCATCCCCTGCTACTGAAGTCTTCCATCTCTCTTTTCTAGCACCACTAAAATTTGAATGAGTTACAGCCTCACTCCAATCACAACTCAACACCCTCAGTGCCATCCCTATCTCTAAAAGAAGCAGTGACCTTCAGATAGACAAATCCAATGGTCTCTTTTAACTTTCATTCTCCTGTCACACAGGCACCACGAACTTGAGACAGCCAAGCTCAAACCTTCCCACATGAACGTCCCTCTTCCCTTGCCCCATCGACTACAGTTCAGTGATAATTTCGGCTCTGCTAGCCAGGATTTAGCCAGGATTTAGCCCCTCCATGTTCCTCTACCTTATATCCAAGCCATCATAAGTGTTTTCAATTCTTCCCAGGAGACATCTCTTCACTTTGTTTCCTACTTTCCATCCATACTGCCATTGCCCTCATCAGCAGCACCATAAAACCACCTCTCTTAGTCACTGGGGAAGCTGAAATCAATCAGAAACGGTTCTCGCACTTTGGGGGCTCTGCATTATGGCCACAGCTTTCCAGCTCTCCTGATGCCTTGAGCCTCACCCTCCAGACATCCTTGCCAGGGTTGAGTTTTGCTACACAAATATAACCATGTCATCTACAGAATTTGTTTTTCAACAAGAGAAATACTTGCACATTTCTTGAATAATTGAAAAATAATTTTTTGAAACACTCAACTGGTACTCTGGGCATTTACAGAGCCTCCACCTCTGGGCTGCCACTGAAGGCACCCAGAGCCCAGAGACCGAGAGTAAACGAAGCCCATGGATGACAATGGAGCCTCGGCCACAAGGCTGAGTGGTGACAGCCCACGGGGCCCTGTGTTGAGCAGGCACTCATCCTCGCTCACTGGTTCATCAGCTCCAAGGCTGAGACGTGGCCATGAAGAGGCAGGAGTGTGTCTCTGCCAGCAAGTGTGCTGCTCTGGGGCAAGGACGGGTCTGGGCATGAGGGAGCTCTTTTGGGTTGCTGTTGGTGAGGCTGGTTTCTGCACTGTTGAGCAGTGGCGTGCTGGGAGGTGGGGAGTGCTCTGAGGCCAGGTACCCTGCATGTCCTCAGCCCTCATGTCACTGTGAGCTGCAGCATCTCCATCCGTGAAGTGTGGAGAATGAACAAGCCGTGCTGCCCAGAGCTGTGAAGGGGATCTGGTGAGGCAATGCAGGCGAAACTCCCTCCGACTAGGCTTGTGTCCCTGCTCCTGCAGGAGCAGAAGGGGGTGTGTCCTGGACAACACTATATGTCCGGTGTTGGGGTGCATCTGGCCTTGGCCAGGCCTTGCACAAGGCCTCTGGCGGTATCTTTGGCCTCTCTCTCTCCAGGCTCCTTCCCATAAACACATTCTCAGCCCATACATGTGAGTGCCACGTCAGCTTGGCATTCAGCCCAGGACTCCCAGGTTAAAGGTTCAGCCAAGAGGAGCTTGTAGTCCCCAAGCATAACCAGATGCTGAGACAGATCCCCAGAGACACAGGACAACAGAGGCAAGTCCTTGAAGTGGAGTCTCTGCAATGCTTGCTAAGAGTAGCTCTCGGTTTCAGAACCTCATTTCAATGTGAGCCATCCAGAAGTAATCCTAGGTCAGAAAATCTACAGTTTAAACCCACCCAAGGGCCTCCTGCCCAGAAGGGAGAGGGGTGTCTGAGTTCCAGAGCACTCGGCTCAGCTTATTTCAAAACAGCAATAACTCATGTGCAAGGCAGGCGCTGCAAAGATTCCATACGTGATTTCACTTGTGGCTGCAGCCAGAAAAACACAGCAAAGATAACATTGTTTCTTAACTGGTCCCAGAGCTGTTTATGAGAAATGTACACTGCAGTCACAGGTCCACTTTGAAAGATAAATGGGATTCAAGTGGCAGAAACCTGCACAAATCCACAGGACTCCTAATGATTGCATGAAGCACCCTGGCTTTGCCCAAGTCCACATGCAAGGACAGGAAATCCTCTTTTCTGAGGATATGCCCTGGAGAGAGGTCACTGTTCCCCTCACAAAACAGTTTCTTCCGGAATCCCCAAGATACAGGACAAGGAGATGAGGATAAAGAAGATGGCAAGAACATTTCTTTGAAAACTGCTCAAGTAAGTAGCAGCAGTATTACTAGCTGAGGCAATCAAATACCTACCTACTCATTATCCAGGAAAAGAGCAGCCCTAAGCCTGAAGAGAGAGGTGTCTGCAAAAGCCCACACAGCTAGGCTTTTTGGCACCTCCAGGTTCAGGAAGGGTCCCTGGAAGGAACCTCTTGCCAAGATGTCCCTGTGGAGGTGGGGCCAGGGTTTTCCACCCACCAGAGCAGTGACAGAAAATCTACATGTGGAGGGGATGAAGAAAGCTTCCACAGGACCCAATAATCATACAGATGAGACGACAGACCCAAGCTCGTTAGTCCTCTCTGTTAGACGCCCATCAGAGAAGACACAGGAAGGAGAGGCCACCTGCTGTGCTGAGTGTCACCTAGGCTTCTTCCAGACACTAGATCTGCGGATGACTAGAA